GAGATAATGCAGGGTGGCCATGAGATATTAATGCATGGCCACGAGATAATAGTGTGTGGCCATGAGATAATTAACATGTGGCCACGAGATAATTCAGGGTGGCCATGAGATATTAATGCATGGCCACGAGATAATAATGTGTGACCATGAGATAATTAACATGTGGCCACAAGATAATGCAGGGTGGCCATGACATATTGATGCATGGTCATGGGATAATAGTGTGTGGCCATGAGATAACACYTTGCCACTGGCATGAGTTAATAACTTGTCCTGTCTGCTCAGGTACAGAACTGCACTTCTTGAACAAGACGACTGACAGTAGAAACAAACTCAAGTGTCAATCACATCACTTTAGCATCAAAATGATCCYACACGCTGGTTTTTAGCATCATTTGTTGATGAAAATTCTCATTCATCCAAGATGTGACAAATCCAGAAAGTRAAAAAAGATGAATCAACTGGACTTCTTTTCTGTAAAGACGTGGAGTTACAAGCTTTAAACAACACCACACTGGCATCAATAACATCAACATCTGAACTGATCCGTTTACTCTAACCTCAGTGATGTACAAAACAACATGACCGTTCAGACTGAGGCCTCTTTGAAAAATGTCAAACCTAAAAAGTCAAATTTGGGTTAAAAAATCATATTTGTCATATTCAGAATGTAAAAAATCTGATATGGGTCACATATAGACAAAAAAAATCCAATTTGGGTCATTTCTGCCTGCATTGTGAACGCAGCCTAAGACTGTTGAAGCAACTTTCTGTGTTGATCCAGTTTGTCCTTGTCACTTTGTGTAGAAACAACAAATGAAAAGCCCATCATCTCTTGAAGGAACGCATATCGCCATGCCAACTTTCATGTCCGAGTTGGACTCTGATCTCCTGAAGGGAAACGACAGAGTTGACGTCGTTTTGATCTCAAATCTTAAAAATAGCATTGTGTGCAATCTCCTACAATCCTGTGAGATGTCACGCTCAGAGTATGTGTTGTGAGTGACGCTCAGCTACTATCACATCCAATTTTAGTCTGTTTAAAAACAAAACGAGTTACAGTCATTTTTATGTTGGGTAATGTTCATTAGCTGTCATGGCCA